GGGGGGGTGGTGGTGGTGCAAAGCTACAAGGGCCCGGACGGGTCCAGGCGTGGGCGACAACTAGCGGTGAGTGAGCAGGGAACAGAGGGACAGAGGGACGAAACGCGTCGCCGTCACTCACATACCGACAGCATTGGAAGATTTGCACGTCGGAGGTCGGAGTACTCGACTCCTCTCCATCCGAGAGGGAAGGTGAAGAGACCGGTGCACCCGTAGTCGAATGCAAGAGGTCTCGTCCCGAACTCGAACATTATCTCACGGGGGGATAGACGTCCAGTAGTACTCATCCGCCTATCCATTTTCACCATGCTATCCTGACGCCGTCCGACTCTTTTTTCTTTTTGGTACGCCCACGAAATATGAAATGGAATCCTTCACGCGCATTGTGACCCAGGGGTATCTGCTACAGTCCAAATCAAATCAAGAAACTTTGCCGGCCCGTGTACCCAACGCCGCCCCCCGTTCCCCACAGGGTATCAACCTCTCGACGCGACTCTATTCCGTCTCCGCCTCGAGCCCAGGCTCATCGAGCTGTCCGAGTCCATCATCTTGGCAGAAGTGCCGAACCGGCTGTGCCCTATGCTGATGAGCTTGATGATGTTCCCCAGGCCCAGAGCGACCGTCGAGCTGCCGACGCTAATCATCGGTCCCAGATCGGATATGATGAGATGCTGCGAGTCCTCGCCGGCGAGGGGCGTGGTCTCGTAGTCTCCTTGGCCGTAGAGCTGTGTCATGGACCACGTTTCCCACGTGTCGAAACACCGCGTCTGCGGCTTCGCAGCGTGCGCGCCCCGGTGTCGCATCCCGTTTTCTGGTGACCGCGGCTCCGAGCTGCCATTGACTTGCTTCTCAACCACTTTTCTCACGCCAACAACGCAGCCACTCTGCAACGGCACCCACAGGCCGGGAGCTTCCACCTGCTTTATGATCTCTCTAGTATCGCTCCAGTGGCAGCACTGCTTGTTCGCAGACTCGGAAGAGCAAAAGCATATCGTTCCACCTTCCTGTGGAGGCAGATACGTCTGGAGAACACAGTCGCCCGTATCAGAGTTTGTGTAAGCTAGCGTCATGGACGCAATCCCCGACGAGCCTGACTGCGTTTGTCGCTTGGGCGGGAGCAGGACCCTCAGTGACCGAGCCTGTATGCACTGTGTGCGGAAGATGTGCAGAATTCTCGCCGTGGCAAAGCTCACTAGCTCGACTGAGCGTGACCGAACCACCAAATAGGCCGAGAAACCGGGAAGAGGAACGAGCGAGCTGACCTCCTTCTCCTCGGCTTGAAGACCTTCAGCAGACAAAGCAACCTCTTCTGAGACCCATCTGCCCTGTTGCTGAGTCACCTTGTAGACATTGCCCTTCCTTGTTGCTGCTAGGACCGACAATGCGGAAGTATTGGCTTTATTAGAAGCTGCGACGGTGTGTGAGTTAATAGATCCAGTAGCTTAGACCATTTTTTTTGTCAGTGTGAGCAGACTTACAATGACTGAATGGAATTGCGCAGACCAATGGCTGGCGACAGATATTCGTATCATGCCTGTCTTCGCTGTCCGGCCGTAGCTCCATCAAGTTACCATCGCGCCTAACAATGATTAGGGACGGCAAGCTGTCTTCCTTAGCGTGGCCATTGAAAAAGAATGCCTCTGGTTTCTGGCCGTAGAGATCTAACGCCATGGACGGTCCCCGGCGACGCTCTACGAGGTTCCAGAGAACAACTTCGTATGATGACAGCACTGCCAGCCACGTCGAATCGTCATCGATGGCCAGCGCGTGGACGGGAAACGGGATATCGATAGGGTTTTCTGGGTCCCTCAACGCGTAGCTTTTGAACTCCGCATTGAGTCTCCAGACACGTATGCGGCGGTCGAGGCCAACAGACACGAACTGGCCGTCGGGAGTCGCCGCCAACATGACAATATCCAGGGCATGGCCTCTGTTGAGCGACTTGATTGACATCAGAGGCCCATCCTCCAGGTCTTCCTCGTTCGCTTTGGAGTCTTTCATGTCGTCCCAGAGCAAGTAGTTCATGAAGAGCCGCACAGCCGCCACGATGACCAACACCGTCACTAGGAGCCGCACCAATTGGTGATTTGCAAAGTCGTACACAGCAGGAAGGAGGGCCCGCTCAGTGACAGAGGGCATGCGGTCCGACCCTTTGAGGACGAAAACTAGAGGCTCGTAGACACGGGCGACGTAGCTGTGGGCCGAGGGCTTCACGACCTGAATGACCTCCTTGGCAGTCTCGTGATCTTGGAGACGGAGCCACGACGTTGGGCTTCGAGCTTGATGAACTGCTGTCAGCGGCGAGGCTGCCGCCGCGGTATTATTCGTCACTGTGTTGTAAAACAATCCGCCGACGGCGCGGTAGATGGAAGCATTATCCAAGAAATGCCATTGCGCGATCAAAATGAAGCCCGACATGACAATGGTGCCTGCTATTCTTGTCGAGAGCCCGATGTTGCCCCGATAGATCGCTTCCGCCCAGGTTTGACGCGGCAAGGGGTCGGATCTCGTCATTTTGTGTCGCGAAGACTTTTCCAGGGCCTCGCTCAACTCCGTTCTACGAACTTCGACGCTCAGCACGGACAGGAAGAACGTGGATAGATAGAAGAAATCAAAGACGATCGCGATTGCTGCAAAGGTGCAGAACGCAGCGACACCGGGAGACACGGCCTTTGATAGCCCCCAGAGGATCAAGAGGTTCTGCGCAACGCTCGCGATAGCGACGTGGCACGTGTGCCCAAATGCTTGTCCGATCCGACTGCTCGTACTGTCTTCTGCCGGCGTGACGAGGACGGCATTGATCAGGCGAAACATATTTTCGAGACTCATGGTCAAGACAACTAAAGGGTAAGCCGCCCTAGGTATTCGGGAGAGGTCGATCTTGAAGATCGCGCACACGGTGAAGCTTGACATGATGGATGCGAATATCTGCGACATGACCGTCAGGATGAGGCCTGGCTTGGACTTCATGGCACGCAGCTTAGACAAGCTGAGCATGAAGTACATTGCGGTCAAAGCATAGGCCACGGTCAGCAGGATCGAGTCTTGGACCGATATGGGGCGGAACTGGAACTCGTAGAGCTGGCTCTGCACGATGTGGCCGTCACTAGGGATCACTGTCCACTTGTCGGCCATTTGCTGGGCAAGATCTTCCGCCCGCCGTTCCCATAACCGACCCACGGGCGAGTCTCGCAGATGAAGCAGGGTGATCACCAGGGCGTCGGCCGCGACCAGAGCACGGTCCTCAAATCGCTTGCCACTGAACACGATGGAATGCCGAAGGGTGACGTTGACCGAGGTTGGTGTCGTCTTCCGGGCGTTTACTGTAGAGACTATATCGCCATCGCTGGATATCCTCTCAGCGTCACACGACCAATACTGTAGCGGGGAGTGGAAGAACCATGACTGGTTCGTCAGGCCGTTGACCACATGGAACATGTCGCGCTCGCTCGGCGTGAGATCGGTCGAAGCATTGACCGGTGGGACGCGGTTCCCTTGCTGCCGAGGATTGAAGTTCTTTGTTGGCCCCAACAAGGCATCTTGCAGATCCAAAGCCCCAAGGAGGACATCCTGGTCCAGCGCTTTCATGTAGCTTCCATGAACCCATAAAGAGCGCATGATCACATCCGGTTCCATGCCGACCTTCCCATCGAGCGGCTGGGCATCTGTCCAGACGTGGCGAGGGAGATTCGATGCGCCGTTGATGAAGTCATTGGTATACAAGAATGGGAAGGGGTATATGAGCATGGTGGCGACCGCCACGGAAAAAAGGAGAGTCGTGACCACATGTCGTGCAGTATATCTTCCGTACCGAGTGAATGCGACTCGGAGGGGATGATTCGGTGTAAGAACAGGCGCCTCGGTGGTCCTTTGATCGTTTGTCAACACGCACTGTCGAGACGCAACGAGAGGACGCATGTGTACTTACCCTCTAAAGGGATACAAAAGGTACCAAATCATCACAAGGGCAGTTTCACCGAATGATAACAAGCATTACAAAGAGGCGAGGTGTGCAAGGGAAGATGAGAAGGGTGCAAAGACCTCGCCCGCGCCAAAATACCGCGCAGTCTTTCGTGAGGCGTTCGTGGGAACTGGAAAAGTACACAACCTGGAGCCCAACGAAGTGATCTCGGCGAGCTCTTTGGCCTGGCTGTAGGCTTCCGGGAAATCGCAGAGTGTTTGACCGGGAGATGCTCTCTCTTGGAAAGGGGGAGTTGGCCGGCAATTCAGCTGTCGGAAAGCGCGCGAAGCATGATGGACCCTCAGCAACAACCCGGCACACCGGTAGTCCGAAGCAAAGCAGCTGGAGATGTGTGTGTGTGCGCAACTTGAGCCCAGGTGGGGGCTGTGATATGCGGAGTGGCGCAACTAGCTTGCGAAAGGCAGATGGATTGTAGACAGGTTGCAATCATGAAGTTCCCAAGCTCGGAAGTTGTTGGCAGGTTTAGTCTGAGCGTAGCGGGCTGATCGACCGAGGGGAGTCGACAGCTGAGCGGATCTGGAGAAGACAGCAGACCAGGGGCAGGAAAGTCAATCCAATATTGGGCATGCAGTGCAGGCTGGAGCTGACTCGACGCCAAAGGTAAAAAAGCTGGACTGGGCTCGAGCTGTGGGCGGGAAGGGAAGCCGGCTCCCCTGTGAGCCGGAGCGGGCGCCAAGTTAGCTAGTCTTGCAGCAGTGCGGCGTCGTTTGCACCGTGTCGGGGATTCGAAGCCTAGCAGCTCCCCGATGCAGCAGCACTCGATGCCCTTTTGGAGAAGTTGGTGCTGCTGGGTTGTGCAGCGTTGTTGGGTGCCGCCCCCGCGAGGTAGGTCTCAGACAAGGAGGAATGAAAGTGCAAACGGAACTCGCCGACAGAGACACGCTCGCACGGCTGAGGTGCCCCAATCAGCAGGCGATGTGTGAGGCAGCGAGAAGCTTGGCAGGTCGGCTAGGTTCAACAGCCAGTTGGATCTCGTCGATTGACATGGGAATGGCAGCCGGTTTGTGTCCTCCTTGTCAGACTCGGGAATAAACCAGCCAGGCCCATCCAAAGCGGAGAATGGGAATCGAGATGGATGACAGCGAGAACTGGGGGTTGCAATTGTGGAGCAGACGACAGAAAATGTCGTCGAGCCTTGAGATGTGCTCTGTGCTCTTGCGAGACGGACGGGCGCGTTTCAAGATGACGTCTCGAAGGAAGAGGCCACTAAACCATCAAACCTTCGATCGCACCTAGGTCCTGGGTACTTTGTGCGGTAAAGTAGCGATAGCTAGCGGTAGCGGTAGCGCCCCTCCACCCGTTCGTTCGCTTGTTCGTGCCCTGCCTCGTCTTGCAGCGAGATCTGCGATCAGGATCAAGACTGCTGGGACGCGACACGCTGCAGTGCACCCTCTCAGGGGGAACCTCGATATTTGAAACGGGTAACGGACAGGTTACCAAGGAGAAGGAAAGAGACGTGGCAATTGTCAGAATGGAGAGATGCACCAACCTGGTTTAGGTAGTTTGCAATGGTGTTTGGTATGCGCCGTTTCGGTTTGGTGCACGGGACTTCCCAGAGGGCACAAACAATTCAATCCCCTTACTCTTGGCGTGCTTTCGCAGAAGACACGCGCCGGGCTCCCCGTCGTCATGATGGGAGCATGGAAAAGCTCAATCGTACGATGAGATGTCATCCCAGGCCACCGGTGCCGACTAGGATATTCGATCGAGGGCTCGATCAGATCCAGGTCTTCGAACATGCGATGTAGTTCAGAGCCGGGTGTGCTGATGCCAATGGCCGCTAGGCCAGGCGCAACAGTACTGGGGGCTGGACAGTGAGTCGTCGGGTAGGTGTAGGGGAACTGTCAATTCTCGATTGGGACGTAAATAAACTCTATGCAACCAAGATAGCCATCTCCCAGGATCTGGGGTTTGCTTTCTTCTTATACAAGTATGTACAGATTGCCCAGGCCCAAAAACCCCTCCTCCAACTCGCCTTCCCCATATCCTGTCAAATGCTCAGCTCGACTGGAAAAAAGAGGCTCTGGGTTGGTGATGTGGGCCATCAGCTGTTTTTTGCTCAAGGTCAGGCCATAATTCGGTCACGGACCAGCCTGTGGCCGTCCAGTCCGCTTGCAGGGGGGGCCTCGAGACCGCCATCCGCCTTGCCAGATCCAGCAACGAATGTGTTACTAGCTGAAACGGCTGCTCCCGCATGCTTTTTGGACGACCCTGTGCTGTTGTTCAACATGGCATATCTCAGACAGACGCACGCAGAACTCCCCGGCACCGTCTCTAATTCGACGCCCGACTGTTAAAGCAAGGCTGCAGACAATGGCGGGTACAGCTGACGACCCCATCGCCGAGCTGCTCACTACATACAACGAGCTCAACGGCTCGACTATCGAGGAGCTGCACCAAGAGCCCAGCCCGCTCGAGTTTATGCGATATGTAGCAAAGAACACTCCCTTCGTAGTCAGACGGGCCGCGAAGGGATGGCAGGCCTCGCGGACATGGAGTGCCGCTTATCTGAAGGAGGCTCTGGCTGATGAGACCGTGAATGTTGCAGTAACACCCATGGGGTGAGTGCCCGATGCTCCCCTTGCTCTACCTCGCTACACATCTCTAATGCCCAGACTCAAATCCAGCAATGCCGATTCTCCCACGAGAATGGAGGGCAGTGGTGAGCTCGTCTTTGCAAAACCGTGGGAGGAAGACCAGCCCTTCCCAGAATTCCTCGACTTTGTGATAGCGCAAGAGAACGAGGTCGCAGCTTCAACGCCAAGCGAGATCCGATATGCCCAAACACGTAAGACCATCACCGAATTTACCTCGGGGAAAACTTCCGTGCAGCTGACGTAACACGACGGAGAAAAAAAAAAAGAGAATGACAACTTCCGCCACGAGTACGTCTCTCTCTTCGCCCACGTCCAGCCGGACATTCCCTTCGCACGCATCGCCCTGGACCGCGACCCGGAGGCCATCAACCTGTGGATCGGCAACTCCCGCTCCGTGACCGCCCTGCACAAGGACAACTACGAGAACATCTACGTCCAGGTCCTCGGCCGCAAGCACTTTGTCCTCATGCCACCCCTCTGCCAGCCCTGCGTCAACGAGCAGCCGCTCAAGCCCGCCACCTACGTCCGCCGCGGCGGGAACGACGACGCGGGCTTGGAACTCAAGCTGGACAGCGTCGGCGAAGGTGAGGGTGAGGGTGAGGGTGGAGGAGATGGCAATGTCCCGTTCGCGACGTGGGACCCTGATACGTCAGGGCCGAATGAGACGGCGTACTCGAAACTCGCTGAGCCGATGAGGGTGACTCTGGATCCAGGCGATATGCTGTACTTGCCTGCGATGTGGTAAGCCTGCTCTAGCCCTCTCTGGTTATGACTCTCCTTGCTGACCGCTCGCGTACAGGTATCACAAAGTCTCTCAGTCGTGCCTGGACGACGACATATGCGTTGCCGTCAACTACTGGTACGACATGGACTTTAGTGGGCCTTTATATCCCATGTGCAACTTTGTCAGATCGACATACATGAGCCAATCTTGAGCAAAGACGCTACCTGAATATGATCAGTCTGGTTTTTGCTACACTCTACAGGCTAGCAAGGTATGTCATTCGTAATCCTAAGCTGGTCGTTCCGTCATTAAACTCCATAAAACACCTTCGCCTATCCCAATAAAAACATGATTCCCTGACAATGGCAGCAGGCCCGGTTCTTGGCATGGCGAGGTCTATACGTTCGTCCTGACCCCTAGCGGTCTCCGATTGCTCTCTTCGTCGAGAAAGCGTCCCTTGTCGTCGCCAATCTTCCGCCTAAACATGCCGAGGTCCTTGAGCAGATCCTGCATGTAATCTTGCAAGTCGTCCGCGTCCTCCTCGTATCCGCCCGAGGAATAGCCGTCGTCGTTGTCGTCGTAATAGGCCTCGTCGACTCCTTTGTTCTCCTTGTCTTCCGCCACCTCGATATTTGCATCCTTCTCCACGCTCCGCACTGTCTCTTGCGCCGCAGTCGGCTCGGGCGTGTTGCGGACGGTGACTGGGGGGATCGGGTTCTTGAGACTCTCCAAGGCCAGCTTGAGGTGCAGCCTCAGAGCCTCGTTCTCGGTCTGCAAGCTGCGAATCTTGCCCTCCGCCACCATGCTCTTCTCCTCCATCATGCGCTGCATCGCTGCCACGCGGCCCTGGTACTCCTCGAGCCTCTCCTCCTGCTGCTGCGCATCCTTCTCCCTTCTTCGCGAGTCGGACACGGAGAGCTGCAGCTGCCGGATCTCCTCGGCCATGGCGGCGATCTGGGCGTCGCGCTCGGCTGTAGAAATGCTGTCCTGGTTGACCACGGCACGAGTGCGGATGCGCTTGGCCTGGTCGGCGTAGCGGAGAGTCGAGAGTGTCTCCTCGTAGTCTGAAGGCGCGATGCAAGCAATCATGGCTGTCTTGGAGTTACCTCCGAGCGAGTCCTTGAGAAGCCAAGTCAAGATGGAATCTCGGTATGGCACGACCTGTTCCCTACCGCCGCGCTTCCCGCCCCTCTGCTTGGGATCTGCGAGGGCCGCAATGACTCTCCCCAGCGTCGTAAGCGACTTGTTGATGTTGCTGCCTTCTCTGAGGCGCTGACCAGTCGCTTCGGTGGCCTTTGCCCGCTCAGAGCCGGCGAGATCTACCAGTCGAATGCGCGAGCTTCGCTCCGTGGTCTCGTCGGTCTCCATATCATGGTGAATTTGCTTCAGCATGATTGTGAACACGGCATGACTCCGGCTGGAAGTGTCGTTCATCTTTGTCGAAGCCGTTGTACGGGAGTTGTCGCCCATCTTCATGTATCGAAGGATCTCGTCGATACTCCGCACAGGCACTTCTGTCAGGTCCTTGACGTATGGTCCTTCGGTCGGCGATTCGCGGATCTTGAGGTAGTAAGGCGACTGATTCGGGACGACGGGGACGAGCAAGTCGCGGACGTGTTCGTTGTACACCTCAAAGTAGGAGACCCGTACGTTGTAGCTGATGTTGGGCGTCTCGTTCTGCGCCGCTTCGATGCGCTGGAATAAGTCTTCACACGTCCGAGGGATGAGGCCGGGCTGATCGGGCGTGCCCATCATGGTGTAGCTCTTGCCGGAACCCGTCTGGCCGTAGGCAAAGATGCAAGTATGGTAGCCCTCGAAGTTGTGGTCGAGGAACTCCTCGCCGAGGCAGTTGTACACGTCCTCTTGCTCTGCATAGTGCTTGTCCTTGCGGTCGTGACTCCAGAACGAGTTGTCAAACGTAAAGGACTTCTCCTCGATCACCTTGCGCGACTTGGCCCTCGAGTTCGCGGGGTCCGCCCCGTCAGGCACGAGCAGCGTCGTGCACTGCGTCAGGGGGTCCATCTCAATGAGGCATTCTGCACCTCTGCTTATCTCTGTGGCATCATGGATGGCGTCAGTCTCTGTTTTCCTTCAAGATGAACAACAACAAGACAAGTCTGGTGCCGATCCGACTCACCTCTAGGCAGGAACGCCCTCACGCGAACCACAACCCTGACATTCCCTCCCGGGTCCATCCTCGCATGCATGGGGACGGTGCCATCGCGAGAGCGCAGCGACGGCGTCGAGGCGGAGGAGCGGACGGTCCGGGCCAGGTCGCTCCCGGAGGCGGTCGAGGCGATGGCGGCTGGGGCAGGCATCAGTCGCGGGTCGATGGCTATGCCGATCAGGGTCTCTACAATGTCGTCGACAACTTGACGGTATCGCAGCCGGCGGGAAGAGTGCATCTGGGGTTCGGAAAGTCCAGTGGGTATATTTAATTGACCTGTGCTCTCTTGGTTCTTGCCCAACTGAGCATGCAACCCTGGCTCTGAGGTGGACTATACTCCACTATTTTTGTTGACATTGTTGTCCGGGTGATATTGCTGTGCGCTGGCGTGTGTCGCGTGGGGTGTAATTGCATACACACACGTCAGCATCTTATTATTAGAGTGCTTTACCTACATTATTGACGGTCAAAGTTCGAAAACCCGAGGGGTTAGGGAAGAGATAATATGATCATTATCTTTTCATTCAAGGGTATCTATCTATCATTTGCTCCCATGACGCTACCTACACAATCCACCACCCAGTTCAAGGCATCTTAAGTCCCTTGCCTAGGAGCTCCAAACCGACCTCATCTATCAGTTTTAGGTCCTTGAAATGTGTCTTCTTCGCCAATACGGTGTCTTGAGCGTCCATGGTGCGCAGTAGATCAGCCAACTCGCCGTCTAGAGGCAAAAGGTACACCAGATTACCCAGAGCCAGAAGCATGCCTTCCAGAGCCTCGGGCGATTTCTCCTCCTGCGAGACGGCCTCCAAGATGGACGCCGCGAGCTCGACTTGGTCGCCCTCTGGCAATGCATCTCCCGGACCTTCCCTACGTTTGGCGCTATTGGCAAGTGACAAGTTGAACAGAAGCGATGCTGCAGCTACCCTCACGTTGTTGTGGCTGTCGTCAAGGAAACTCGACGACAACAACTGAATGATTGGCGAGCGCAGCTGCTCATTGGAGAGAATCTGTTCCGGATACAAGGGGCTGGTGAATAGATTGCATGCTGCCTGTAATGTAACAAGCCGGAGAGCATACGGGCAGTCCGTGAGGTGGTTGACATGGTCGAGGAGTGACCTTATCGTACTATGGCCCTGTTCTTCCGCGAGAACGCCACTCAGGCGTGGGTCGACCAGGCCGCATCGCAGAAGATCCACTGCGGTAAACAACGAGTCTGTCGCTAGGCTCTGCAATGAAGTCTTGAGGAAGGTCGTGACGGCGCTGATGTTGGGCAGATGTGCTTCCGCTGGACCCTGCTGGTTGCGAGCCTCGATAAAAGAGGCCAGTTCCTTCACTGCCGGATCCCCTCCAGCGACACCCATCTTGCCCAGGAGCTTCGGAAGGGGTGGCACCTTGGAATAAAAAATCGGCTTTGCCCGTGTGCCAGAGAATGTAGGGAGATTGAGGGATTCATGGGGATGTGACGGCCAAGCCATGTGCACCAGCAATTGGATATTCCCGCGGAGTTGGGCAGGGTCGGCGCCAGCCCACTTGTTCTCCTGTTGGCCACGCAGAAAGGTGATAAAGGTAGGCGTTGCAGATATCGAGTAGTGCTTGCCGACATCGAACGCCCTTGAAGCGTCGACCTTGATCAATACCGCCTTGGTGCCGAATTCTGCGGCTAGCTCATTGTATAGGGGGTACAAAGTCTTGCAAGGCGGACACGTTGCCGAGGTGAAGAAAATGGCAGCGCAGGATTTTCGTGCGCTTTCCAACAGGCCGTTGAGCTCGGTCAGATTGTTCACTTCGTGGACGCGGCCCTGGTTGTGATGCAGTTGAGCTACCGGCTTGCTAGTACCGTTGAGTGAGTTGTTCTGAATGCCCAGGATGCCGCCTCGCTGCCGGTTTGCCTCAACCGTCTGGTTCAAGGCAGGAAGAAGCATACTGCCCAGGGGCGAGTTTATGACAGCCTCGGGCATGTTGACGATATGGTCAGGAATGCCTTTGCCAACCAGAAACGTGGCAAAGTCATTGGAGAAGTTGTTGCAGTTATGATGCCACAGATTGTATGCCTGGTGTGTGTCAGTGGCTTGGCCTGCTGCCGGTCCTTAGAAAGTGTAATATTCACCTCGACAGTATAGATCTCCCTTAAAGAGTCCAGGTACTCTTCGATCACATCCATCGGAAGGTGAGTCGTTCCAAGGGGTATCTGCTGAAGCGGCCGCCCAAGGTGAGACGATCCTGGCGCAATAGCCACCACATTCCCATCATAGACATACTCACGACCGTCGAGAACAATCGAGGTGTGGTAGACTGCATCTAGCTGAAACCCGAGTAGGCCCATGGACATCTGTCTGGCCATGCCTCCAGACAAGTCGTAGGTGTATAGAGTGACGTCCATGACGGGCGAATCACTGCTTGACACAGTGTAAAGGGCGAGAAGTGAGATGAACAAGATGTATAAGTGCTAGTGGTGACCTGAAGTGAACGTTGTCGATGCCGATTGGAAGGGCTACCTAGACCAGTTGCTTGCAACGTGTCTGTATCTTGTCTAAACCTACCTTATGACAGGAAACCAAAATGAGGACAAGGAGGTAATGTAGACAGAGTATCACAGAAAATGGTCGACTGGTTGCGGAAAGACGAGTTGTGAGTGTTGTATAAGAGGTAATATCGGCATGCGCGGAGGCAACAGCAAGCAGTACGAATGGTGGTGGAAGATTACAGAACAGCCTGGATGCAGCACAGCACAGATAGGTAGTCGTCATAGAGGGTTGGCCTACACTACGGGGGCGCGCTCACTCCAGCTGCCAGGAAAGAATCAAAGAAATTGGATGTTCTACCTTGCTTCATGTTTGTATGTATCGTCAAAAATCCACACTTTGCGCTTAGAGGTACCTACTGATATCCTGATCGAATATACAGAAGGTGAGAAACCTGCCTGCATTACAAGTTCTAGCTCTTTGGATGGATTTGAAATACTGCGCCTAATAATACAAGTAGGTAGTTGCTTCGTTTCTGCCGAGCACAACTAACTACGGCTCCCAATCAGGTATACTTCCCACCTGGCCTCCGTGAAAGAGTACATCCCTCTGGGGTGGAAATTTAAGCCTTCTCGGACTGCAGCATTTGTACGTAAAATGGATGCCACTTTGTCTTGGCCCCTCAGCCAGGATCCAGGGGCCAGCCGCTAGCATTCAGGCCTGGGCTGGCACTCCTGGCGAGAGGGGGCAAATTTACAGTGGGGTCTCCCCGTACTTCGTAATCAAGACAGCGCTGGTGTCGCCCGACCATGCATTTTCCACTTCTCTGTATGGCCAGCCTGCGACACTTGGATGAAATGAAAGACAGTTCAATTCGGACAGCGTGGAAGTGTCTTTTAGCAGACACATCCTCTGGGCAAAGCATTTTGACGTATTCCTTTTCAAGCTAGATGCAAAAGCCTGACCTACCACATCTCTGATCCGCGCCCCTCCCCCTTTCCCAGCTGGTATGCTTATTGGGAGGTGCCCCTAGATTCATTCGCGAAAAAAAGTAAAGTAGTTCAACCCGCAAGAGAGGTGTGGCTTGTCAGACTCACACTCCTTTCCTCCGCTCTCTATTTTTCAGTCTGTCCTTCTTGTCCCTCGTTTCTCGCCGGCAATTCTCCCTTTGCCGTCGGTTCCTTGCTCCCACTTCCTGGACCTGGACATGCGCCGTACGTCGGTATCGCTACCGACCAACAAGATCGCCCACGACCCTCACGAGAAACGCGACCGCTATCAAGCAAACCACCAAGGAGCCGGCATCCTGGAGAAGGCAAGCGCAATCATGTCACAGGCCAAGCAGGCCCGGTGGTTGAAGACCACTGCGATCCTCTTGACCGTAGTCTTCCTCTTCTACTATTTCTCGCCTTCCGGCGTTGATCTGTACCACGAGGTCTCCTCGTCCAAGGGCAACGCTGGTGGCCAGGTTCCTACCGATTCATCCTACGGCACCGACCGCTGTACCAAATCGAGCTCCAAGGATAAGCCCATTGTCCAGTATGTCTCCATGATTGACGCTGGCAGCACTGGCTCTCGCATCCACGTCTACAAGTTCAACAACTGCGGCGCCACTCCCGAGCTCGAGAACGAGGTCTTCAAGATGACCAAGAAGATCGAGGGCCAGAGCAGCGGTCTGAGCGCCTACCCCGACGACCCCATCGCTGCCGCTAAGAGCCTGGATAGTCTGATGGAGGAGGCCCTCAAGACCGTTCCCGACAAGCTGAAGGCCTGCAGCCCTGTCGCTGTCAAGGCCACCGCCGGTCTCCGTCTTCTGGGTGCTGAGAAGAGTCAGCGGATCCTCGACGCCGTCCGCGAGCACCTCGAGACAAACTACCCTTTCCCAGTCGTCTCCAAGGAGGAGAACGGTGTTGCCATCATGGACGGCTCCGACGAGGGCGTCTATGCCTGGATCACCACCAACTATTTGCTCGGCAACATCGGCGCTCCGGAGCACCAGGATACCGCTGCCACCTTTGATCTTGGCGGAGGCTCAACCCAGATTGTCTTTGAGCCCAACTTCAAGGGTCTCAGCCAGGGCGGTATGCCCGAGAAGCTCGCTGCGGGTGACCACAAGTACGACCTCGATTTTGGTGGCCGCCACTTCACTCTTTACCAACACTCTCACTTGGGCTATGGTCTGATGAGCGCCCGCGAGGCCATCCTCAAGACCCTGGTCGAGGACTATGCCGAATCTAAGAAGTCCGACAGCACCTGGACCAGCTCTCCCGTCGTCAACCCTTGTTTCTCGACCGGCATGTCCAAGACTGTCAAGGTCAAGCTGGGCGAAGGCCACCCGCTCGGCAGCGTCAGGGAGTTCAACATGACTGGGCCTTTGACTCCTGCCCCGGCCCAGTGCCGTAACCTCGCCGAGCGCATCTTGAAGAAGGATGCGACCTGCGCCCTGGCCCCTTGCTCCTTCAACGGTGTCCATCAACCTTCGATTGCTAAGACCTTCGCCAAGGAGGACATCTTCTTCCTGTCCTACTTTTACGACCGCACTCAGCCTCTTGGCATGCCCGAGTCCTTCACTCTGCGTGAGATGGCCGATTTGACCAGCCGCGTTTGCGGCGGTGAGCAGGCGTGGGACATCTTTGGCAGCGTCCCTGGCGCCCTCGAGGAGCTCCGGGACCGCCCTGAGCACTGCCTGGACCTGAACTTCATGGTTGCCCTCGCCCACACCGGCTACGAGATGCCCATCGACCGCGAGGTTCGGATCGCCAAGAAGATCAAGGAGAACGAGCTGGGATGGTGCCTGGGAGCTAGGTAAGATGTCATCTGACGTTCATCTTGCACTAGTACAGAATGCTAACATGCAACTGCTATAGTCTGCCTCTGCTGCAGAAGGGCTCAGGCTGGACCTGCAAGGTCACCGAGGTGCACTAGACGGCAGCCAAGAGGTTTGCACACGATGTTTATCAAGAATCAATCTGCATTAATTCAAAGGGTCACGGTCAGAAAGACAATCGACACGGCGTTCAAGGTGGAATCCCAGCATGCGGCCCGCACATCCCACTTTCAAAGGGGTCGCGGAAAAGAAAGACATGTATACATAGAAAACACGATTCATCCGGCTGGCGTGCGCGCTCCAGATGACGAAGAGCCCACGTGGAGCGAGTCTTCGAATCACCAAATATTAATGATACACACAATACTCGCCGTGTTTTGATAACGAAATAAAGACCGCAATGATATTGATCTGGGTATCTAGCTCTAATGGTGTCTACAATGGTGCTGGAACCATGGCCAGCACCTCCTCGATGACGTCGTCGGGGCCAATGCCCTCGAGTATGGACTGTACGGCGGCCAGCTCACTTCCCCATAGCATACTTCTCTCCTTCTCGGGGGTAACGATGTCGACACGATGCAAGTAGACCTTGCGGGCTGCAAGCCCGACGAGCGAGGGCGTCACGTAGTCCAGCCCGTGCAGGGGCGCCAGGCTCTTCATCAGCTGCTCAAAGTGTTTGGTCGCCGTCGGAGTGATGCCGCCGGCCACGGCCCTGTGCATCCGCAGGAAGGAGACAATGTTCATCTGGTACCGCAGCACGTCGACGTCGACCTGCACCTCGCGGCTGAGCTTAGCCAACGTGGCGATATCCTGTCGTAGTTGTTAGGAACGAACTGCGCCGTTCGGTCTACAGATGGGGGAAGAAAGAGAGAGTATGGAGGCATACCAGTTCGGAAAACACGGGGTCCCTGCCTTCCTCGGGAAACCCGCCCGCCACGACGGATCCGGCCCCGCCGCCGCCGCCCTTCTTCACCACGCTGCCCGTGCTCGCCGTCTCGGCCTCCTCGCCGTCGTCCTCGAGGTTCGCGAACCCGTCCTCCGGGTCGTGCCAGTGGCCCACGTAGAAGAAGTCGTTGAGGTGCGGCGCGAGCCGGCCTCCCCCCGGCCGGCGCCCCCGCTGCTGATGCTGTTCACCATCGTCGTCGTCGTCTCCGTCGTCGGCGAGCGCGGCCACGAAGAGGAACTGCTTGGGCGCGGCGTGCACCGAGGTGCGCGTGAAGATGCGCCGCGTGCGCAGCAGCTCGAGCGCCTGGATCTGCACGGCCTTGGGCGCGAGGCCGAGGTTCCTGGCCAGCACGACGTGCGCGATGTGTGCGTGCGTGGCGGAGCCGCCCGTCGGCGTCAGGGGCGAGAGAGGGGCGCCGCCGCCGCCGCCGCCGGAGGAGCTCGGCGTCGCGGGCTGAGGGGGGAAGTAGTCGTTGCTGGCGATGCCGGTGCGGGTCAGGTGCGGGGAGGAGGAGCGCGGTGTCGTGCGCTGCGCCTGGGCCTGGGGTTGGGGCTTGCCTAGGAGGAGAGAGGTGGCGAAGTCCTCGAGGGTGGTGTCGGGGTTGCAGTCGACGACGGCGTAGGAGAGGCCGAAGGTGCGGGTTGAGATCTAGTTGGGTAAGCTTATGATCTTGGTTGTGTAGATTTACAGCAGGTGAATCCCCCGGGTAGGGCAGAGAGTTGTTTACCAGCTTGAGCTCCTCGACGAGATCATCGAGGGCATCTCCGGGGGTGGTGATGACGCAGTGCTCTCTGGCGATCAGGGAGAGCAGGGCTGCGAGCTCCAGGTCGCTCAGATCGTGCACCCTCTGCAGGAGGTTCTCATCCGCCATCGGGCTTCTGAGCGCTCTTATGAATGGTCCATCGAAAATCTCCTCCGGTTTATCGAGTCTTCCACCTTGGGCGAGTCTCAGAGCCTTGTATGTAGCCTTGCGTTGGAATAACTAAATTGAATCCTACGGCGATGATGGCGCCTGAGCCGCCTATCGCGTGGGCGATGGATATCGCAGTGGCATCGCTAATGCGGCATTCCAGGCGTGTCAGGTGTGCTAAGCCATATCGGCTTTAGCGGCCCCGCCCAGGTGGTCAAGTGCTCAGTCCCCAATGATTGGCCCTGAAACCAAGCTCGTCACCCCGTCCCAGCCCAGCCATAACGGCCATACATCTCCAGTGATTCCCCATCAACAACGACAACTCTCAATCAGCCAACACCTCGGATTTCCAGGCAACAGACTTGCGGTTCAGCCTCCGACATTTCCGCCGCCCAATAGCAGAAAATACACGAGTGCGCGATCCCGATACCCCTCCCTGAAGGCAGCGACGAACAGCCGAGCGGCGGTCTTTGGAGAGGAACGACAAGCAGGCTCCTACTTAGCAGAGCGTCATCGGGACATCATATCAACACAGACAGCCCACCATGGCTTCCAGGAAGAAGGTTCTCCTCAAGGTACTACAACACAATGATCCAAAAGATTCAAAGGACGTGTTTTTGTGCTGAAAAGTCTCTCTACAAGGTCATCATCCTTGGCGACAGCGGTGTGGGCAAGACCAGTTTGATGAACCAATATGTAAGTCCCACGGCCGAGGCTACTCCTACGACAACCAGCACCCGGGCAACAGAACTTTCTAACCCCGAGCTCTCGTATAGGTCAACAAGAAGTTCAGCGCGAGCTACAAGGCCACCATCGGCGCCGATTTCCTGACGCGAGAGGTCCTTGTCGATGACCGTCAAGTCACTATGCAGGTGCGAGATTTAGCAGGCGAACACTATGCGGAGACAACTGCTAAATATGTTTTATAGCTTTGGGACACCGCAGGACAAGAGCGATTCCAGTCATTAGGCGTGGCTTTCTACCGCGGCGCCGACTGCTGTGTCCTGGTGTACGACGTCAACAATTCCAAGAGCTTCGACGCCCTCGACAGCTGGAGGGACGAGTTCCTGATCCAAGCATCACCCAGAGACCCGGATAACTTCCCTTTCGTACGAGGCCCTGCCATCATATAGCGGTCTGTTATGCTGATATTATCTCTAGGTTGTGCTTGGCAACAAGATCGATGTGGAGGAGAGCAAGCGAGTCGTAGGTAACCGTTGAAAGTGTTGATGGGATACACAGACTGATGCGCTTCCAGATCTCCACCAAGAGGGCGATGACGTTCTGCCAGTCAAAGGGCGGCATTCCTTACTTCGAGACGAGTGCCAAGGAGGCTATCAACGTCGAGCAGGCCTTTGAGGGTATGTATCGGATGGGAGAAGCTGCCTTCGACCTGTCGGCTGACCTTTTTGTCTGCAGTCATTGCAAGGAATGCTCTCGCGCAGGAGGAATCGGAGGAATTCAGCGGCGACTTCCAGGATCCCATCAACATCCACATCGAGAACGACAGGGATGGCTGCGCTTGTTAAGGACGGAAGCATGAGCATAGCTATGACGATGGTGTTGGCCTATTTTCCCATTCTGGCGTCCACAGTATACGGTGCATTATACCCTCGAAGCCTGGACGATGTACCATAATATCGACAGTCGCTCTGCAGAGGGTGTTTGAGGATGCGAGTGTATTTCCTGCGAAGAAGGTTGTTTTCGACTTATCCAGTCTCGACGGAGGTGGAATGAACACACCATCCTAATCCTCCATAGATCCACCTACCTGCCTTATGTGCTTTCCATGCTGTCCAAAGCTATCTTTGGTATGAATTCTAGGATATAATCCTGCGCTTTCATTATCGTGTGCTCCTGAAGTTTGTCCCCATGGCCTACTGCCAACCAGTTGTAGCGTCATCGGATGCATGGCCAGCGTATACGAGCGATAAGTCCACTATTGCACGAGTGGGTCTGGCGGATGACGCGCCCAGGTGCCCCTGACCATACGACCCGACCCTTTGAAAGCCTGAGAACAGGGAGGGTTTTACTTGTACACCTCATGAAACGCAGTTCCATGTTGTCAATCGCTACCCTGTACATCCAGGTGTCTGTCTCCTAAAGAAGCAGAAACCCGATCAACAAGCGTGGCCAGGGCCGAATTCAATCTTTACCAGCGCAGAAATTGGTGATTGGTCTCAGAGTGTCGCGTGTCCGGGCTGGGTCTGCGCTATCCCTTCGTTCACTAAAACTGTGTCCTGCGGTCGGTGCATGTCTTACCTCAGCCGCGCGGACGGAAAGTTACGAAGGCACACGGCGCCCCGTTCGACGACGTGGCTCCCCTGGAAATGGTCACTGGCGGCGGAAGCATTTATCTCGGATCCCTAGCGACGCTCTCACCTTGAGAGGGATATATCTACGATTTGAAGAGCAGAAAGAGAGAGTGTGTGCGCGTGTGTGAGGACCTTGCTTTGTGGACAAAAACTCCGACCATGGCGCCCGTGGAGCCGATGATCCCGGCCGAGATCGCGCCCGAGCGAGCGTCGCTCTCGCGGAGGACGTCGCAGACCGAGAGCATGCTGCGGATGCAGAGGTCTTCGCACTCGTCGGCCGGCGGCAGTCTGAAGGAAGGCGGAAGTCTGAGGGCGAAGCTGGGCCTGGCCGGCGTGGCGCGGCGGACGCTGGGTATCAGTCTGTTGATGGTGACGGTGTGCCTGTGGACGCTGTCCAATTTCCTTGCGAGTGTGAGTTATGCATAATATTCAACGACCGAAAGGAGCCCCTCTTTCGGAGCCTGGAAGAAAAAGAGTGCTAACATCGTCGCGGCTGGCAGTACATCTTCTCCGACAACACATATAGCAAGCCATTCTTTGTCGTCTACGCCAACACATCCATTTTTGCGATTTCGCTCATACCCATGGCGATCAAGTTCCTGCTGAAGAACGGGGTGGAGGGGTTCCGGAACGCGGCGCGGGACGTCTGGTACGAGCACAAATACGGCATCAAGGCCGGCAAGAGCCAGCAGCAGGAGGACGACGACGACGCCACGGCCGGCGAGCGCCTGCTCGTGGACGACGAGGGGGCCCTGGACCCCGCCGACGCGGCGGCGGCGGCGGAGAAGGAGGAACGGCTGACGTTCCGGGAGACGGCAGTGCTGAGCCTGGAGTTCTGCATGCTCTGGTTCCTGGCCAACTACTTCGCCTCGGCGTGCCTCGAGTACACGAGCGTCGGCAGCGTGACGATCCTGACGTCGACGAGCAGCGTCTGGACGCTCATCTTCTGCGCGCTCATGCGCGTCGAGGGCTTCACGTACCGCAAGCTGGTCGGGGTGCTGGCGTCGCTGGCGGGCGTGGTGCTCATCTCGTCGGTGGACCTGTCGGGCGCGAGCGACGAGAACAGGGGCAACTTCCCGCACAAGACGCGGGCGCAGATCGCCATCGGGGACGCCATGGCCTTTGTCAGCTCCATCATCTACGGCCTGTACGTGACGGTCATGAAGCGCCGGGTGGGCAACGAGGACCGCGTCAACATGCCGCTGTTCTTTGGCCTCGTCGGGGTGCTGAACCTCGTGTTGCTGTGGCCTGGCTTCTTCATCCTGCACTTTACGGGCATTGAAACTGTGAGGTTGCACGATTACGACATGCAAGTGTTTTGATGAAGAGAGTGACTAATGATCTTTGGTTTCACAGTTTGAGCTTCCGCCGACCGGTAACGTCTGGTTCATTATCATCGTAAGTAGCTCCAGAATGCAAAGCTGGTTTCCAGAACAAAAGCGGCTTACGATCCCGATCCACCACAGCTCAACTCAATATCCTCGTTCATCAGCGACATGTCGTGGGCGTACGCGATGCTGCTCACGACCCCGCTCGTGGTGACTGTGGGCTTGTCCCTGACCATCCCGCTATCGCTCATCGGCGAGATGATCCAGTACGCGCAGTACTCGAGCTGGGTGTACTGGGTCGGGGCCACCGTGGTGTTTGTGTCATTCGTGTTTGTCAACAACGAGAGCCACGAGGAAGGGGGTAGCAGCAGACCACCGCAGCGCGCGTCCGACGGAGGGCATGGGTCTGTGTAAATGATACAACATCGAAGAAGCGAGTGATCATGGCTTGTTGGAAACACTGGGCAACATATTCAATGGCATCGTGAAGGCGTTTATGGAGTTTTACTGCCTCGGTTGTGACGAGGGCAAGGGACCTATTGCCTAATAGAGGGATCGTACATAACAGACTCTTTTGGAACAGATTTAGATACAGGCATGGACATTCAAATTTCAAATGATTTCAAATGGCATCCAGCGGTAGCAGTAATCCTACAGTGTCACTCGGTTCTTCCCGTGACAGAGCGGTATCGGCCTTGGCCTAGAGCAACACATTGGTTGTTTCCGGGTAAGAGGTAACAGTCAGTGTCATACTGCATGAATCACCAAATTGCAGCCGGGCGGGAGAGAGTGTGGGCGTGCCACACTTGAGCTGTCTTGACAAGCCTCCTCTCTACTGAGGAGCCAACCACCGATCGGAAAGGGGCCTTCAGCGTGGACGATCCCGATCTACGGTTGAGGTAACCACTGTGGCGATCCGGGCGGCCCCGTGGCGCTGATTGGGCAGGGGGGAGTAGGCGCCACAGCTCCAGAGCTTAGCGCTCATTTTCCCATGTTTTAGGCCATGGGCAATTCTATTCTCCCACTGGCCTTCTCCCACTCCCACATGCTAAAGACAGGATTGATCCATTTTCACCAGCCATGTGCCTACCCTCCTTGCTCGCTTTTAAGCTCGATTACAGTCTTGATTTTGCGGCCTAGTGTAAGTACAGGCAAGAAAGGCCCGCTATTGCCATGCCCAAAAACTGCCCATGACCCTGCTTTGCTTGGGGTCTGGATCTTTTTATTCGCCCCAGCCAAGTACATGCCTTGGTAGTGTGGGAGACAAGAGTCATGGCGCATGCAATTCGAGAGAGGAAGACGAGAGAAGAGCCTAGTGTCTCTACTCAGGTCGGTTCTTAGGTCGGGTCGGTCAAAAGCTGCCCGTGGTAGGTTTCTTTCTCTTTCACATCCTAGACCTTTTGACAAGCAGTTGGACAGACACTCTTCCCTTTGTTGATCTGTCAAAGTGCTTGTCAAGGTTGTTGTCCATCGGTTATTTTGAGTTTTGCGCCCTCGAGGACCGCGGCTCTGTCCACTGCCTGCGAATCTTGGTGACGCACGGGAAGGCGACGACGATCCTCCAGGGCAGGTCGCTCCCTGCTTTCCCGCAGCTGCACGACTGCTTCGAGCTCCCTACTGCCTACATGAATGGATCGTCCCGTCTTTTCTTCAGATCCATCGCCCTCGCTCTCCTTCACGAACAGTAGTCAACTCACGGGCTTCAATGTTCTTGCTCAGGTAGCTTGCGGCTGCTTCGTCTCTCCTCGTTACCACCAGCTCCCGCAGACCGTTCTTGCCCGGTCAGCGTTGTAATTGCTTCAGATCACCTGTGCTTTACATTCAGGCTCTAATATGATTCTCACGATCTACGACTCATCAACGCTTTGTTCCAAGCCGGCCTCAGCATCTTACCATCACGATATCCTTCCACAGCATCTCTGCCTCTATTCGCAGTTCCCTACTTGACCGGTCCCCTTCTCTTCCTAGTCACAAGACCAGCGCACCACCTGGTGACGCACCTGGCCTGCCATGTCCTCCCAGCCTGAAGCTGACCCGAGCCGCGTGCCCTTGGGCGAGGCTGTCAATGTTGCCACACGATCCCTTCATACCAAGCTTAACAAGCTAGTCCTCAGCAGGCTGCCTTTGGCCATGCCCCCTCGGGCCGACACGCCTTCAGTGTACATCACCGGCCTCCTACACATCGCGCCAATATACATCACCTTCGAGTCTTTATGGAGGGATTATATCCAACAGACCAGCTCTGAGCAGACTCCTGGTGCTTCACCCGACTCCCGCCTTGATCAAGCGCGGACTGAATTTCACGTCCCGGAGACGCACTACTTTACGGATGCTACGGTTCCGTCAGAACGTGCCCGGAGTTTCAAAGCATCTGAACAAGTGAGGTCTGCGCTCATCTATGTCCCCGTCCAAGGGCTGGAGCGTTCTGCGAGGCTGCGAGCCGATATACGCAACCTGACTGGTTGGTCACCAGTCGAGGTGGAGGAGCAGCTTCGCACAATCGCCATGACCGGCCATCTGTCCGTCTTTCTCCGGCACATCGAGCGATCTGTGGAGAAACACCCGCAGGTCTTGCTGGCTTACTCCTGGGTTCTATACATGGCCCTCTTTTCTGGAGGTCGCTTCATTAGAGCATCTCTCGAGAACGCTGGGCTCAGCTTTTGGAAAGAACTTCCCACACCCGTTCGGCCGATGATGCAAGAGTGCCAAAAGATTGTTCACGCACCATCAGACGACCCCGAAGATGGCAAAGAGGAGATCATCTCGGACGAGTCACACCTCAGACGAACCCGCGCCTTCACGACCCCACCACCCGGCAATACAAGAGCCAACCCCCTAGCATACTTCCACTTCGAAACGAGTCGTGACGGTGAGGATCTGAAGGTCGAGTTTAAGAGGCGGCTCGCCGAGGCCGATGCTCTTCTCTCGGAAAAGGAGCGAGACTACGTCATTCGTGAGGCCGTCCTCATCTTCGAGAACTTGATTTCCATCATCTCTCAGCTCGACCTGGTCTGCGGGACCAATCTCGCCGGTTTTGGGGACAACGAGCCTGCCAACATGGTTGTGCCGTTCTCGCCACGGCTGTCGAGCCGGTTCCGGGACAGCATCGCGGTGTCCAAGGAGAGAGCTTGCAGGGCGGCCATGAAGCGCGAAGAGGAGGGCAGCAGTGCCGACTCGGAGGATGCCGAAGCCGGCAGCTTTGAGGGCCAGACGTCGAGCGACCAGGTGGCCGAGGAGCTTCGTGAGGCCAGCACATCGCCTGCTAGCCGCTCCAGGACACCCAACAGTGTAACTTTCGAGGAAAAGTCCGCGCCGACCGACACGGTGGGCGCCAGCGGCGAGCCCTTGTCCAGGTTTTCTTTTGGCTCGACGGATGGTGCCGCTAATACCGGCCTGCTCATTGTCGGGAGGCGACCGCCGGCATCGAAGTTTTCACTCTCTGATAGATTTCTGTGCGTGGCTTTGATCGCCGCTGCGCTGGCGTGGGTCAGTATTGCGAGGTGAAGTGTAGGGCGAGCAACCACACCGGCGCGTTGTGGTTCGATCATCATTCATGGGCATTGGATTAGGATACCCTCTACAGCGCATATCGGTATGGCGCTCTCGTAAATACCCTGGGTAGTAAGGAATAGATTGGGATAATCATCAATCACTGGGCTGTACGGTTGGAGTGACGATGCAACCAGCAGCAGCAGCACACATCCATTGGCAGAGTAATACATGTACACTATCCAATGTCTTGTCTTTCAATTCTTTGTAATCTCGCCCGGCCTGTCCTCCTGGGTATATCCTCCGTCATCTTTCCTGAACTCCATCCGGGAAGAAGCAATTCCGCAAGATTTCACCGTCCGCAAACCCCGTTCTCGAGAGAGGTCCCCGCTCACATCTATGGCTTTCTGTCTTGGCCAGCGTTGGCCACGGCGGTCTATGAAATTTATTCAACCTCCTCGATCAGTCGCATCGTCCCCTTCCCAGAAGCGGCTCTCGCCTTCTTGCCCTCCGGACTCCCAGGTGGTGAGTCAGTCGACGCCTTGCGTTTCCTTTCTCCGGGACTTGCTTCATCTTCGCCGTCGCTACTGCTGCCGCCCGAGCTTGAGCTAGATGAGCTGGACGAGCTGCTCGTATCTTCCTCTTCCCCTTCCCCTTCCTCCTCACTGCTCCGGCCCGCCCCTGAAGAAACGGCAGAAGACCTCCTACGGCCCGGGCGTCGAAGTCGAGCTGGTGCCGGCGCCGACGACGGTTCATCAGATCCGCTCGACGACGACGACGACGACGACGACGACGACGACGACGACGATGAGGCGCTCTCCTCCGAGGAGGTGGAGTCCGAGCTCGTCGAGCTGACGAGGCTGGCCGAGCGCACCAGCGGCCTGGACGGCCTGGACCCGGCCGTCGGCAGGGCCATCTGGAAGCCGCCGCCACCGCTGCCGCCCTCCTCGTCGCTCTCGTCGATCTCGCCGCCGTCCCACAGGCGCACTCCCCCGTCCCCCTCCTGCTGCGTCCGCCGCTGCTCCTCGAGCACGCCCGCCAGCAGGCTCACCTCGATGTGCTGCCTGCCGTCGGCGACGGCCTCGTCGTCGAGCTCGACCATGGTGGCGGCGGCGCCGCCGCTGGCGCTGTTGCCTGCCGCGCCTGCCGCCGGGTCGGCGCGGGACAGCCGGTTGAGGAACTCGGGGAGGTGGGACAGGACGGCGGAGCCGCGGAGGTCGTCGGGCGTGACGCGCATCGTGGGCTTCGCCCTCCTCTCGGCGACGGCGGCGGGAGGAGGCTGGCCGTGCGTCTTGCGCAGGTCGATGATGTCGTCGAGCTCGGCGGGCGTGGCGACGGTGGGCTCCTCGAAGGGCGGGAAGGGCTCTTCTGCGTCTCCCCCCGCCTCTGCGTTCTTCTTCCTTCCGGGCGGCATCGTGGTTGGCGATGGCGCGGCGGGCTCGAGGCGGAGGTGTGCTGTCCGCTCCCGTGTTAGTCCAAAGGGGCTCTGGGAACTGAATTATCTCTTGGGTCCACCTACGAGGTACGGAAAAGTCAAAAAGATGCGGGTGCGCCTCGAGGAGGAGGCCGCCCGGCTGCTGCTTGGTGCAGACCCTGCGGCCCGAGCCGTAGTAGATCCGGCACCACTGCTCCGCCTTGAGGATGGTTGCCGCGCGGCTCGACCGGCTCTCGGCCCGGGCGTTCAAGTACTCTAGGGCGATGACGAGGCCCTCGTAGTAGCGGGCCCGTAGGAGCGGAGAGATGGGCCGGGTCCGGAGGTCTGGCCAGTGGGATATCGTGTCAGAGACGGCCATCATGGACGAAATAGCAGGGGGGGCAAAAGTCTTGTAAACGGTAGAGGTTGCTTGCGGTGAATGGATAACGCGTGAGGAGAGGCGTCTATATAGAAAAGCAGGGTGGAGGAAGGGCAGAGGGAATTTGGAACCTCGTCGGCAGGAGGGTCGATGAGGGATGTCCGATGAAACCAACGAGGTTGTGGGAAAGGCTGGTATCATACTTGAAGGAATATATATGGCTCACCTACAGTCGGGATTGCAAGAGTTTTGAGAATAGCTTTGTGTCGGGCTGCAGTATGGTCAAGGACTGTACCTTTGTCCTCAATTGTTCAATTGTCGTCGATTGTCCTCAATGATGAATGACTGGCTGTTATGGTATGCTACTGCTTGAGACAATTGGACTATTGTCTTTGTCAACCAATGCACGGAACTTCTCAGATGGCAGGCAACTCACTCTCTCGCCAGAACCTTGATGGGGACAGGGATCCAGAGTCGTCGTCTTACTTGGCACAGTCTCGTTGCTGTCGTCGAGTTGCAACACACACGAGACCTAGAAAGGGTAGTTAATGTGCAAAGAATGAATCCTGTTATCGAATGCCCGATGTTGCCATTCAAGAGTGCCTGCGTTGAGCACTCGTGATACATGCAGCTTTACACAGTCGACTCTGCGGATGAAGTTTGATAAGTTTTGACCCTAGCCCAGATTTTACAAGTACGCCAGGCCAGAGCTCCGGACCCGTTCTACAACGGCGCCGCTCCCCGTAGCGGCCCCTCCCATGTCTCTTGACGAGGGCCCGTGTTGCTCCCGCCCACCCCTTTCAACTCCATCGTAGCGAGCCTTCTCGAGCCCTGATCCCTGTCCAGACTTTTTTGCCAGTTTCGAGACAGTCGAGACAATTGGACAGCCAGTGAAACCCACGCGGCCTTGACGCTCTGTTCTGTCAGAGAGCTTGGCCTCTGTCTGCTCCAATCCTCGACTTGACGAGCCCCACAGCCCCTATATTTTAGACAGCTCGACTCAGGGTACAGCGGGTGGGCGAGCGGCTGCCCATGTGTCGCTTCGTCGTGGCCATTGGGGAGCGTCAAGAAGGCCAGGGCCTTGTGACAAGGGGGAAACTGGCATGATTCGCTTCCACGCAGCAGCAGCGCGCCCCCTACATACGTACCTCTGTACTTGTATGACAGACAGGCCCATTCCCCACTGCCGTTCGCCGAGCAAGGTGAGAAGAGCTTTGCTCCAGTCCAGTGAGCTCACAGCCCAGCTTGGTGTCGCGGGGTCGCCAGGCGCGGGTCCTGCTCCAGCTGTTTCAGGTACCGTAGCACCACCAGCAGCCTTGGCCAATATAATTCTCACGACCGCGTGTTCGTCTGATCTTTTCTTTTTTTCTCTCTCACTCCCTCTCCTTAACCGTGGTTGCGTCTCCTCCATTCCTCTAGGTCCAGCGACAGTGGTAGGTCTTTGGTGATCCTGCCTCTCCCATATCTGCCTTTCCCCCCTCCAGCTTCCCCGCGCAGCTGTTCTTCCTTTGTTGCGCCGCAACTCCCCCTATACTCTCCCGACTTCGCAACTCCCCTCATCGTCGCAGAGCCTCGCCTGCGATTCTCCCGTACGCCGCCGACCTCCCAGAAACCTCGAGTCCTCCCCTCCCCCCCCCCCCTTTCCATAACCGAACCCGCAAACAAAACATGGCTGCGCCGCGCCCGTCTCTCTTCACCCGCGGCCTGTCGGGCCTGTCGCAGAGCTCCGACCCCAACTCGCCCAGCGTGAGCTCGCCCGCCGAGTCGCGCGACGATGCCAAGCGCAACTTCCTCAAGACCATGCGCCCGCTGCCGACGCAGCACTACTGGCACGTCTACTTTGATCGGTAAGAGCTCTTCTCTATATGTGTCTCATGTCAAGGGGGTGGGGGGGAGGGAGATATCCTTGTTAGTGGTCGCCGGGTGGGAAAAACGACATGCTGATGCAAAACCCCCCCATCCGTACAGACAAGCCAAGGACCAGAAGAAGCCCGACGACGGCAGCTACCAGGCCGAGCTGGAGCAGCTCGGCACGCAGATCGAGTCGGTGCAGGACTTTTGGCGGTACAACAACAACACCCCCGTCGAGCAGATCAAGATGCGCGAGTCCATCTACCTCTTCAAGTCGGGCTTCCGCCCCGTCTGGGAGGACCGCCGCAACATCAACGGCGGCAGCTGGACCTTCCGCATGCCCAAGAGCATCGGCCCGGACTTTTGGACCCGCGTGCAGCTGCTGGCCATTGGAGAGAAGCTCGAGAGTGTGCTAGATGATGGTTTGTTGGAACCCCCCCCCTTCTCTTCTCTCTCTATATGTATACATATATATATATATATATATTATATATATATCACAGCAAAGACACACATACACTGACATGCTCCTTACCGCGGCAATCAACAGGCGACCAGCTCTGCGGCGTCGGCCTCTCGGTCCGCTTCAACTCGCACCTCATCTCCATCTGGCACCGCGAGAGCTCCAAGCAAAAGTCCGTCGACGGCCTCCTGCAGGCCGTCCTCGAGGAGATCCCCGCCGAGCTGCGGCCCAAGCCCGAGAACTACTTTTACAAGAAGCACTCTGACCACGCCGGCTTCAAGGCCCCGCCCGAGCTGCAGGCCGTGCTGGACTCGCAGAAGAAGCGCGAGGCCATGGCCGCTGCCGCTGCCGCCGCCGCGGCCAAGCAGGAGGTGGATGGCAAGACCAAGACGGAGGATGGTGGTGAGGCTGCGGGCGACGTGAAAGCTTGAACGCAATCGAAACCCAAGTAACGACAAATTGTGGTTTTATCGGTCGGGAGGGACAAACAAATGCAGAGAGACGCAGAGCTCGCTAGATCTGGATAGCAGATATCCTTTGCATACTAATGGCGTTATCTTGTTGTTGTTCGCTGATTGCTGTCTTGATACCGATATCTATCTCTGGCCGCTGAGTGTGACTCGAAGCGTTCTTTGTCTGCAGTCAAAGGTATTGAGCCTCGCGGCCCTTGTTTCCTTGCGGCCGATCCTTCCCGCGGCTCGGCTTTATCACTGCGTGATCTCAAGCCTCAAAAGCAGAACCCTCCACGACGCAGCTAGTAAGATCGCCGTACGACTCGAGCGGCTCAGCGACGACGTACGACGTACGACGTGCTGGCTTGATCATTCAGGCTGGAGTACCAAAGCCCTCATCTACCGCGGGGAGTCGACTGGCACGCACACCCCCCGCTTCAAGTCTCGATTATGTTCTCCTTTTTTGTCATCTGAACGCTTGCCGTCCACTCACTCACCTCCACACCCCGGCCCTCCGCATGACGCTCTCAAACTCCTCCCTCTCCACCCCCTGGCCCACGCCCGCGCCGCCGTTGGCCTCGAGGATCATGTCCCGCAGCAGCTCCTCGGGCACGTCCTCCTTGAGCGTCGCCGCCACGCGCCGCAGGTGCGCCAGCGTGATCTTGTTGTTGTTGTTGCCGTCGTCGTCGCCGCCGGTGAAGAGCGCAAAGGCCTCGTCGACCTCGCGCAGGTGCGCGTCCGACGTGTGGTCGCGCGCGTGCAGCTTGAGGGCGCAGATGGCCACGAAGGAAGGGTACGTCGCGAACCCTTCGTCGTCCGGGTCGAGGATGCCCACGAACTCGGCGAGCTCGGCCGGCGAGGTCGGGGGGATGCCGAGGGCGCTGTTGGGTGCGTCTGTGGTTCAGCTTGGGCGAAAAGAAAAAAAAAAAGAAAGTAAAAAACTTGGGCTGGTGATGTAGTGTCCTGTTTGTTGGCGTCACAGTGTGCGGCGGAACTTACATCATTGCGCGCCGGACGTCGCTGGTGGGTATGACGCCCTCCTTCTCGCCGTCCATGGGCTCCGAGAACAGGCCAAAGGCCTCCTTGATCTCGGCCTCCTCCTGCGCCGTGATGTTGTGCTCCTTGCCCAGCTTGGACTGCCGGGCCCTGGGCGTCGCCGTCGCCGCGCCGCCCGCGTCCGCTGCCGCGCCGCCGGCCTTGCGCTTGGGAGGCTGTGACGATGATGTGAGTCAATCGCTGCAGTCCGCTTACAAATTCAGAGAACCGGACAGCATATTGCCTACCATGGTGGGTTACTGTTCGGGCGCAATCGGTGCGCCTCGTGCTGTTGATTAAAGCTATATCTGGGGAAAGACTGGACTGGAGGAAAACGGTTCGCGCTTTGGCGGGGTGACGCTTTCGATGATTAGGGCGGGTGGACCCGCTGGAGCAACACGCCATCACGTGGGAGATGGCTAGTGAAACTACTACCTGATGGCCTGAAACTTTTTTTTTCCATCTTTGTTCTCCTTCTCCCAAAAAGTTCACAGGAGCGCAACAATGATTGCGCTCGAGAAATCAGACACACAGCCTGGCCAAGGCTGAGAAAGATATGTTCCTGATCAATCTCATCCCACAGGTAAGGGAGACCGTGAATGTTGCCGTGTCTCGACCAGTTCCTTCTCTCCCTCTTCAAATCATCCAAAACCACAAAACCGCTTCAAATTTTGCTAGAGCTTGCCGTTTCGAATTGCCCCAGGACGAGCAAGTGTGGACAGTGAAGCAAGATCAGATGGTCTCCGGACCGTTCCCTCAACGTCGATATTTGCCCAGACCCTTCTCGCGAGGCGGGCGAACTGTGCATGTGTGGAAACATCTCTCATTCTCGTTCTCAATGGACTTGTATTGCCTCGTGCGTGCGCCGAGCTCTCCTCTAATCCTCTCTACTACTGCATGACATGACCATTACTCCAGTGAGAAACGCCTCCCATAGTGCTACATCTTCGATTCGGATGGCGGCCTAGTTCCCACCGCTTTAGGTCGAAGCCAATCTCGACGTGAATGGCTCCAGGGCTTGGACCACTCACTTGAAGTTGTTCTTCATCTCGCGAAGCGCCGCCATGACTTCCACCTTGTCAGTCTTGCCCGTAGCCTTCTGGATCACAGGGTCCTGCACTCTTGGTCAGCAAACATGCGTGCTCTTTGGGAGGAATCTTACGTACGTCTAGCCGCATGAAGACATTGTGTTTCTGGTCAAACGAGTTAGCGGTCCTGATTCGCAGAGACGTACCGTCCTCGCCCTGCATACCTTCTCGTCTCCGATAGTAAACTTTCCTTGCGTCTCCTTGTTACTCTCGGCGAAGGCCTCCAATTTCTTGACAGGTTCGCTTTGCAATACAGAGACGGCGAACTTGACATTGGACTTGGTGTACTCGTGCCCGGGCTGTATCACAGTAAGCAGGGTCCCGACCTGAACAAGGCACCCGGGGGGGAAGGACAGAACTTACAAACACGCGGGTGTCGTCCGGCAACGATGCGAGCGTCTTGTTCAGAGCCTTGTCCATCTCTTCTGCGTTACCCTCAAAGAAGCGACCACAGCCTAGACGGACCTCGGTCTTAGCTTGCAGAGCTCTGGTGCACATGCGGGATACGAAACAGCCCTGGACCTACCGCCATGGAACAGTGTATCACCCGTGAAGACTACCTTGTCGTCGCCGTCCTGCATGTACCAGCAGATGCTGTCCTGGGTGTGGCAAGGGGTATACAGGCCCTTCACGGAGATGCTGCCGATCTTGAAGCCCTCACCATCGGCAGGAGTCTTGGTGACCGACTCGCAGTCCTTTCCGCCAATAATCTCGAGATTTGGCGTGCCGAGGTCGCTTCGCTACAGCAGCCGTCAGCCATGTCTTCAAGTCTCATGAAGACCACAGCATAGCATCCTGTACCTACCAGCTTCTTGTTGCCTCCGGCATGGTCCCAGTGGCTAGTACAGAGTCAGACAGCCTCATGTAAGAGATGATATGCCGGGGTTGGACATAAACTTACTGATGCGTGTTCACGATCGCCGTCAGGTTGATTTCGCCTGCATCGATGGCCTTCTTGAGGACGGGGGCAACCCTAGCGAGTTCAGCACTTGATGTCCCATCTTGCCATCAACTCTGCTCCCGACAGAAGACTCACTCGGGAGGGTTTGCCGGGTCAATGATCACGGCGTCCTTGGATTTGTCATCGACAACAAGGTAGGCGTAGTTGTTACTACTGCCCACCCCTGTCACAAAGCAACTCCATGTCAGCAGGTGGTCTCGAGAAAAATGCGTGCACCGAAAGTCTTTACGACCAGAATTGGCAGATTGGCAAAACGTACACATGGGGATCGACTTGATTTGCATCTTGCGGATGTTTGTAAGCTAATCCCACACAGCACGGAGCTATCGTCAGCAACTTGCAACGAGGGCCAGTGATGTCACTGAATTGGGTTGGTTGAGAAGCGTCTCGGCAGGCACTGACAGTTGTAGCTGGGGTCCTGGTTATGTGCCTGAGAAACGGCCTTGTCGCAACACTGATTCTGTTCATGGATCACAGGGAATGAAGCAGTTTGGAGAGGCAGAAACTCCGCCTATACGCATGGAAAGCTTGGGAGGAGGAGCTCGGCAGATGCATGCAATTGCGGATGACGCTATTGGTACGTCTGGGGGGAACAGTGCGCAGATAAGCGCACTGTGTCTTACATCCTGCCGAGTCGCCGCCTCCATAGGCTATGGAGAGACCAAAGTGTGTTGGTTACAACTCTAATATGAAAAGAACTGCTGATACTAAATGCTTGAAAGCTGATAAATTGGGTATCGAAGATGTATCGCCAGAAAAGAAGGCAAACTATGCTAATTATAAACAATGAGTCTAGGTAGGTCTGCAGCTGAGCAGCCGGATCAGACCACGCCAATGGGCTTCGGCTTCCATGGGCCTTGATATCGCGTCCATAATGCCGGCCCAGGTGGTGGAGGCTTCTCCTCGCCTTCGTCTCCCATGTCCTGATCCTCATCGCCGCCTACCTTGACGACGTCCACCTTGCCTTCACTGTCCGTCTCCTCATCCCGCATGTCGACATCAACATCCGGGTGCTCGAGCGCCTGCAGCTCCCGCCTCGACTGCTCCAGCTCCGCCTTGATCCGGTCGAGGTCGCTCATCGGCGGCGCCTCCTCCTCCTGTGCCCCCGACTGCTCCTCTTGCTCCTCCTCCTCCTGCTGCTGCTGCTTCTCCTGCCTCCCCACGATCTCCCTAGATAGCTTCAGAGACCTGATCATGAGCCCGTGGTCCGCCGTAGCATCCCCAATCTCCGCCAGCGCCCGTAGCAAATGCGCATCATCCCACCTGCGGACCTGCTTCCACAGCTTCTCCCTCGTTCCGCTGCCATCCTCCTCGTCTTCGAGGGCGAGATACTCCATCAGCAGAGCCTTGCACCTGCCAGCCTCGCCCGCAGCACCATCACCATCACCACCACCAGCCCTGCCCTCCTCTCCGTCCTCCTCCTCCTCCCCCCCTTCCCCAAGCTGCCGCCAGTAGTACCCCCAGATCCAGGCCAGCGCGCCCCTCGCCGCGGGCCGCAGGCGCACCAGGCTCGGCAGCTGCTCGTGCGTCGCCTGGTGCCGCAGCTCGACGTACGTCGCCGGCAGGCCGATCGTCTTGGCCACCGAGTACATGCTCAGCTTGCGCTGCCTGTCCTGGTGCCCGTCGAGCAGGCCCGTCACGAAGCTGAGTCTCGCCCGTCCGTCAGTCAGTCAAGCCCACAGCTCTTTCATATATATATATGTACGTAGAATAATATATTTCGTTCTCCCATCAAGACAACAGAGAGAGAGAGAGAGAGAGAAGAGAGGGGGGGAAAAGGAGAGAAACATACCGGCTGAACGCCGCGCAGTAGCTAGCCCGCACCGCATACGCCGCCGCCGCGTCGCCGCGCGCGGCCTCGTCGCCGAGGACGGCGGCCGCCAGCAGCGCCGTCGACTCGACCATGTGCGGGCAGTTGCCGCGCTGCATCCACATGGACACGCGCGCCACGGCGGCCCTCTTCTGCGCGTCCGCCTTGCTCTTGTCGCTCGCTGCCGCTCGTGATTGTTGTTGGTGCCGACGGCGGGAGGACGAGGACGATGGCGACGGCGACGCAAGGGCGGCCGCCTCGTCTGGGTAGAATTGCCGGCGCACCATGAGCAGCTCCCGGCGGTCGCGCCATGGCGTGAAGATGTACTGCACCATCCTTGGCGTGCGCCGCCTTCCCCAAACTCTCTTGTTGAGCGAAAATCTACAAAGAGAGTAGATCTGGTATAGTGTAAATTAACTTGGGCTGTGCAATACAGTGCCCCTTTTAGTCTAAGGAGGATGAGTGGTGGTTGGAAATTGCGGTGTCTTCACTGACGTGAATCATCAAGTTTTTTTTTGGTGTATGTTGCTTAAAACCCACTCGTAATATGGGCCACCAGATTGTAGTCTCGTAACATGGAGCATCACAACAACAAGAAGTTCTGACCAAATCATGCCATGGTTCTTTTTCTAACAGTAATTCATCATATCTGAAACATACTTGATATGTGCTTTCTTGGAGGGGATTACACCCACCTTTTCAATCTATGCAGCATTCACCACATGCCTCACGCTCTGCCTCAACCAATACCAACCCCAGGCCAGAATGTCATATTGTAGGTCCTTTACTTTATTTCAGGAATTGATGCCCAGTCTATTCTATCCGAAACTTTTGGGTTTGAATCAGATCTTTTTTTTAAAAAAAAAAAAAAAACCCCCATCGAGCCGTTCATTTGACGCCCTGCACCTCCGCACAACACTGATAAGCCCGGATGACCATGACCGCATCCAGGCCAAGCCAAACCAACCCCTCCCCCCCTTTCCCCCGCTCGCAACTTACCTTCACAAAGTCTTCTCGACCAGGTAGATGCCGTACTTCTCCTTGAGCTCCTTCATGATGGGGTTGTTGAGCTTGGTGTTCATGGGCGCCAGGACGCCCTTGTCCGAGATGGTGCCGTCGAGAACCTGCTTGACGGCGACGGCGCAGGGGACGCCGACCAGCTTGGCCATGGCGGAGTAGCCCTTGGGGTCGCCGTTCTCGACCAGGGTCGAGGTCCGGGTCTCGCGGCTGCCGTCCTTGTGCTCAATCTCAAACTTGTGCTGCAGCATGACCATGTCGCGCTCGCCCTCCTCGTACTGCATCTTGGCCTCCAGGGTGGCGCAGAGAGTGTCGAGCGGGTTGCCGCGGGGCGTGATCTTCTCGTCCGAGAAGAGACCGATCCAGTTGAGGCCGTTGATGATGCGCGTCTTCTCCTCGTCCGAGTCAAAGGTGGCCTTGGACAGGATGGCGGCCTTGAGGTCGGCCTCGCTCGAGGAAGAGGCGCCGACAACCAGCTTGGTGGCCTCCTTCCAGGCGATGGGCTGGGTGAGGGCATCGTTCTTCTCCTCGGAGAGGAAGCCGATCTGGACGAGCACGCGGATGAACTGGGGGAAGCCCTGGTACCTCAGGGTGCCACGGATGACGGTCTGGGCCTCGGGGATGTTGTACAGCTCCTTGTAGCCGGTCGAGTCACGGTTGGGGTAGCCGACAAAGGCGTAGCCGGGGTAGATGAAGTAGGGCTTGGCGGCACCCATCAGCTCCTTGCCGGCAATCTCAACGACCTTGCCATCGCGGTAGATGCGGGCGTTGTTGCCAAGAGCGAGCAGGACACCGCGCGAAGACCACGAGAACTTGTATCCGAGGGGGTTGTCCGAGTCCTCGGGAGCGGGCAGGCCGCCGCAGAAGGACAGGAAGGAGATGATCTTGCCGCCGGCCTGGTGGACCTCGTCGATCGTCTTGACAGCATCTGTATTATATCAGTATATGCATGTCCATATTCCGTCGCCTGGTGTATGAATCCTTACAGAGGTGGTCGATGCCGGGGTCTGGAGGCATGTCAAGTTAGCCCAAGTTCATCGCAATGCACAAGTCTGATAGCACGACAGGAACTTACCCAGGCCGATCTCGTTCATGACGGTGATGCCAGCCTCCTTGGCCTGGGCGTCAAGCTCCTTCATGGCGGGGGAGACATAGCTGGTGGTGACGACATGCTTCTTGTTGCGGATGGCCGACTTGATGACGGTGGCGTGGTGGGTGTAGGGGATCAAGCTGATGGTCAGGTCGTGCTGGGCGACGGCGGCATCGAGAGCAGCCGAGTCGTTGACGTCGATGGAGACCGGGTGGGCATTGGCAACGCCCTTGGAGAGCTTCTGGGCGGACTCGAGGGTTCGGCAAGCTGGGCGAGAGGAGAGGCTTCCATGTTAGCAATGCACGACTGCGTGTGAAGCTGTGGCAGCCGTTGGGGCCGGTGATTGATTGTGGGCAGGCTGTGCATGTGTCGAGAGCCGGGGTGTGCTTGGTTGACTCACCGACGGTGACGGAGATGCCGGCATCGCTTAGGATATCAAGAGTCGGCTTCGTGACGAAGCCGGCTCCGAGCATGAGCACCTTCCTAGGGGCGCAACGTCAGCCATTGTGGCGCCACAAGCCCGAGCGCATGAGCCCGGGTACATCGGGGCTGCTCACTTCTGGGAAGCCATCTCGATTCAGAGTGTCTAGGCCGGACAGGGGATGCGATATGTAAGGGGAAGTGTGTGGGAATACGGCAGCTCGTGTACGGAGTAGAGTTGAGACTAAGGTATCGGAGCCAAAGTGGAGGTTCAATAAAACAGGCAAAATTTGGTCAATTCCTGTGCCAAGTCCGGACCGAGACAGGGAAGCTACAGATGGGCTCGTGGAACACGCCGAATGCAAAGGCAATTAATTATAGAGAAGGGAAAAAAAAAAAAACTTATTTGGGCCGGTCTCAGATGCTATTACTCACGCCGGCGGCGATGCTACGTACACTCGGGATGGATCTGCTACCGATAACGGAACGACGACAGTCTGCAAGAAAAAAATAGAGGGGTCAAAGTTGGTTGGAGGGGTAAAGTAGTGACGAAAACCAAATGGCGGACGAGCCATTGGGCAATGATGTGACGGGAGCAGCTGGCAAGTGGGGCTTGATATGATAAACGGGTTTGCAGCCGACTTTCTGCGTGCACTAGGTGAGGTACCTTCGTAAGTACTTTACTGCAGCGCCTCTGTGCTGTCATCGTTCTTGCTCTTTATTGATAAAGAGGATCGAGATGCAAGGTTGGATGACTCTTGGCCAAGCTCTGCATCGAGCTACCTTCTGACCAACCGGTAATAGCCGGCTACAGACTACCTTAGGTAGGTACGGCGTGCATGAAGAATCAAACAGAATCTACCTTGTCTAAAGTAGATGCACCACCCCAACTGTCCCAAGCTCCTACCGGTATTCGCGCTGGGTCAACAATCTGTGCACCCCAGGTAGTTCTAGCCGAGCGCAAAGCAGCAGCACCTTAGGTCCTCCGGACGTTCGAGTGGTTGCACAAAAGATTTCACGCCCCAGTGGGGTCACCCGCCCCCAAGGAGGCCCAAAAGACCAGACGGACGGACGGGCGGGGCACGAAACCGGGCCCCCACTTTCAGTTCAGCACGCAACGCGTGGGAATGAAAAGAAGAACAAAATAAACGGGGCCGGCCAGGTTGGTTCAGAGAAGGCCTGCCTGACCTGACTCTTTGACAGGGGCCCGTTCTAGCGGCTCTGCTCCAAGCTAGCGCCCTGGCACACAACACCACCCACCCCCTCCAAGGAAAGGAACCTCCACCCTTTCTTGACATCTCCACCCCATTCAATTCAATCTTTCATGTTCTCCATAAAAGAAAAAGAGAGGGGGCCGGGAAAAACATGGCCAACACTAGGTATTTGAGGTAGGTGCCTTTTTTTTCTTTCTCTTTTCTTTTACGACCTGCCTGCTAGCAGAGGTGGTGCTCCCCTTGTTCACAAGACCAAGGAAGGTACTTTAACCTCCACTAATAACAGACGCATTCTCCCTTTCGAGACATGATAGCTACGCCCTACCGGTAGTCCACCGCTGACCTGTTGCCGGCGGTCCCCATCCAGCTACCTACCTATCCAGCTCGAGTTTGTTCGTCCTTTGCAGCGCCTAGTGATAGGTTAACTACCCTCCTGAGTACCTAGTGAACCAAAACCACTCTTTACCGCCAGAAGCTGTGGATCGATAGGTGCGAGAGTACTTCGTAAGTGTGGGTGGGCCGCTTATGAGCATTTGCTGGGCCTGAAAGGATGGATGTCCCTATTTCCCGCTTGCGGATACCTCGAAAAACCACTTTCTCTTTTTCCCACTTGGACCCAAGCCAACCCAACCCTTTCCAGAAGGGCTCCCTGACTCCTGGTTACCTACCTTACGTTGTGTGGAGTAGGTAGCCGCCGAGGCCCTCAATCTTCTGACTCTCCTGGGAGTGAGTGGCTAGTTACGGCGGAGTTTGGGCTTTGGTCTCTCTCTCCCCAAGAGTTTGCTTTGGCCGCCGGGTAGACGGCCCATTTCCCAAAGGAGTAATCATCCAAAGGGTGATTAAACTCCATCCACTCACTACCTACCTACTACGCCCTTTGATGCTCGCGACAAACATACTCACATCTCACATATCCAGAAAGGTCATTTGCTGTGTGGGACATGACTGTGATTGGAGATTTTTTTTTCTTCTTCTTTCTCCTTTTGGGTTCCGGGGCGCTGTTCCACCGGTAATCCCACTAGCTAAGGGGTATGGTATGGGCATGTATCCATACCAAAAGTCCGTGGTTCGCAGACCACATCCACACGAGACGGCCTCGTCTCGTCATCCGAAAGTTTGCTTCCTGTCTCCCGTGTCTCGGGAGACCATGTCCTGTCTAAAATACAATCGCTAAGGGGTATCAAATATGTGTGGCAACTCTCGTCCGTCCTGTCTAGAAACGCCGTTCCCTGAGACCATGTGGTACACAGCCCATGTCCTGTTGGACTCTGGTCCAAAAACGTAATATCGTGTTGTTTTCGTTCGTGATCGCAACCATCTTGTGTGCAATGAAGCACAGTCGACTCATCGTACACACGTAATCGAGAGTCGGTATGCCGAGCCTTTCAGGCTCCCTTTTAGTCGTCCTGATCCTCGCCCTCGGCATCCTTGTCTCCGTCGTCCTCGCCGTCCGACATCTCTGGCGGCTCCCACGCGTCCTCGAGCTTCAGCCCCTTTCCTGTCGGCTCTCGAGGGTAGTTGGGTCCCAGGTGGCTGGCCACCGAGGCCATGTAGTTGCCGAGGGCCGGGTCGACGGCCTCCTTCTCCGGAGGGTCATACAGACCCATGCCGATCAAGATCTCGCCTTCCTCCTCGTCGTCGAGCGGCGGGAAGAGCGCGGGCTCGTCTGAAGACACCTGCGGTGCCTGTTGCTGAGCTGGAGAGAAATTCTCGGGCGTAGGCGGTGCCGTGCACCTGCCCATGTTGCCGACCTGGTGCATCTCCCACGGCGGAGAAGTCTCGGACGACCCCGAGAGCACCGAAAACGGCTCCGTCATCTGTGGGCATGCTGCAGGAGACGGGAACACCTCCGACGCCGGTGCTTGGTTGTACGCGTTCCAGTTGTTGTTCATGGCGAAGTAGCTGGGCTGCTCAAACGCCGTGAACGAGGTGGGCAATGCCAGAGGAGAGAACCCGGCCGGCGAGTTGTATTCCGAGTAAGCTGCGGGGGTTGGGGGAAACTGAGGGAATCCCATGAGCAGGTCGGACTGGCTGTAAGGGGCGTAGGGCATCTGCATCACGGGTTGCTGTAGAGGAACTTGATGCTGCACCATATGGGATGAGGGGTGCCAGCTGACAGGCCGAGGCGCCCGCTTGGATGGCTCCGAGGGGACAAAGTTGGACGAGTCCGAACCTGGCGTGAGGAGGTAGGCCTGGTCCTCTACCCGCTTCGCCATCAAGCCGTCGTTGATCAGGGTCCTCCGCCGTGCTTGCATCATCGAATGTCGTGGGCTGGTGTTGGTACTGGTGCTGGGCTTGCCTATCCGCATATGTCCTCCGATACGCTGCCCGTTGGACCCCCTTGATGATCTCCTCCTCTGCACTGGGGCAACTCCGCGGGAGAGCTCGTCCAGCATCAAGTCGGTGGGATAAGAGGTTTGTGGGAGATGTTGTTGGTGGGGAACGCCACCATAGGGAAGAGAAAACATGGGGAGAATCGAGCCTCCGCCTTGGAGGGATTGTATCAAAGCTGCGAGTATGTGTCTTGCGGTTATGCAAGAGGATCGTTGAGGGTGACGGAGGGATGGGAGAGGTATGAAGGAGATGAAGGCTTCTTCGTTGACGAGAAGAGGCGAGGAAGACGAGACTGGGCTTCCTCGCTACATATTAAGTACGAGTAAGTGGTGCAAGGGGATATGGGGGGGGGGGGGGGTGTTGTGTGCCAGGGCGCTAGCTTGGAGCAGAGCCGCTAGAACGGGCCCCTGTCAAAGAGTCAGGTCAGGCAGGCCTTCGCT